TGGCCATGAACAAGATCACCAACATCAAGCGCTACCACATTGCCAAGGTGTACAGGAGGGACAACCCGGCCATGACCCGGGGCCGCTACCGCGAGTTCTACCAGTGTGTGAGTCTGGCTGATGGCAGGGGGGAGGCTGTGGGCTGTCAGAATGCAGGATCTAACACTGTGTTACCCTTCCCTGTGGCTATGGAAAGCTCTGGAGGATTCACTAATCTTCTCCTTAGTGTGCCCTCACGAGTGTGAAAAACAGCTGGGGAGTGGGAGAGCAGGAGTGACAGCTGTGACGGGGTGTTGGTGTGGTGGGCAGCTTTGTCACAGAGCCCCCTGGTATCACCACCTTCACCCTGTGGGGGAAGGCAGCTCCTTCCTCCATCCCACAGCACTTGCCAGCCGGGTGGAGGGGAAAAATTTCCTTCTGATCCCGAATCTGGCAGCAGTTCAGCTCTGGGTGTGTTAGCAGGACACACAGACCAGGCTAGGCCGTGGTATACACTACTTGTGTGCTGTGTTCAGTCAATCCTCACTTCAAAGGAAGGGAAGAGCCAGAGGCCAAATTACAGAACAGGTAACAAAGCAATTTCCTTCGTGGCTCTCCCGTGGTAGCCCTGAGGAACAGCTTTGTTCTGCTGTACTGACACAGTCCCCCGGGGCTCATAGTGCAAACAGTTATTTTGTTTGAGAATGTTCCTGCTTCATCATACAATCTCTGGGGATACCTTCCAGCTCCAGCTTGGTGATTCCCATTTCCAAACGACTCAGGGTCTTTGCCTGCTGTCCCATCTGAAAGACTGTTCCAGGATAGCTCACTCCTAGGATAGCTAGAAATGGTCTTCTAATATCCAGGCTAAACTTATTTGTATCTGAGTACTTGTCCTTGTTTAAAGACTTCAGCTCTTTAAACAGTAGCTGTCATCCCTTGATATGGATTCTTCCCCTTTCCTAGATGAACATTTGGGAAATGTTTAGAGAAATCTTCCCCTCCTTAGGTCACCTAAATCAAACTGTTGCCTTCTTTCCCTGGAGTTATGGAGTTTTTTCCTTCTCTACTCAGCCTAGGAGGTTTTTCTTCCTCTTTTCTTCAACATAATTCACTAGTCCCTGGTTTTTTTCAGTGAGATTTCACCTGTGCCATGTACAGTGGTAGCAGCACTTTCCTGACTGTACTTGCTAACTCAACTTCCACAGGGATTGCATCATCCCTTCTTGCACTCAGCTGATAAGGATTAACTGCTGTGATGTCATCTCTTTCCTCCTCCAGTTTATTTTGGGAGCTTGGTGAAGCCCTGTTGAAATTTACCCACTTAGTTAAAATTATTCCTGTGCTCAAAATCTCACTGAAGACTTTGCATTTGGGGATTCCTGAATAGGAGTCAAAGAATGGCTCTCTTGTTGCTTCTGTGTTTTATTTCTCTCTGAACACTGATGTTGTCCTTGTTGTTTTCCAGTCATGGGATATCAGCCTATTAAAGCATCTTGATGTTGGGCTTTAGTTATTCTGTGTGCTAGTTCATCTTACAGTCTCTGGTGGGGACCACTCAGGCTTCTTGATCTCATTTTCTCTCTTGGCAGTTGAAACTTTGGTTATGCCTCAGTTTTGCTTCTCTTGTCTTCTTCCCTGATCATTAACTTGATTGGCATGTGTGTTAAAAAAACCCCATCCTAAGAATCAAGGCAAAACATTTGGCATTTAGGTCATAGCAAATGAGAAGTAGTTTTCTCCTCCCCTTCCTGCTTCCTTTGTTCTATTTATTTACTGATGGCTCTGCTGGCTCCTTTCTGCATTGTTTTTTCAAGGGTCTCTGTTTCAGACTGTCACAGGGTCGGGGCAGCAGGTCACAGCATACAAGCTCTTGGCAATGCAGTGGGCACAACAGCACTGCTGCCTTCCATGAAAGAAGGTCCTCACCCACATCCTGTCCCTTCTGGATCCCATCTGCAAGGGATGGTGCTCTCTCACATCCCATTTCTGTTGGTTTCTGTACACCAGCTGCTGTCACCAGGAGAGCTGAAGCTGTTTTGCTGCAGCCATGAGTTGCTCACTGCCTTTTCCTCTGCCCCAGGACTTCGACATCGCCGGGCAGTTCGACCCCATGATCCCCGATGCCGAGTGCCTGAAGATCGTGCACGAGATCCTGAGTGACCTGCAGCTCGGGGACTTTGTCATCAAGGTGATACTGGGGTTCTCTGTGCCATGGTGGGAGGCAGTGGTCATTGTCCCTGGGGTTT